GAAATTCAGGCATGATGCCGCCTGGCCTGGCAAAGGGCAGCAGGGCAGATCCATGACCTGTGGGAGAGGGAAGGCAATGATTCTGACAAAGCGAGCAGGGCCTACCTCAGAAATGTTCCCTGCCAATGCAGAGGTCTTTTTTCTAATGGAAGAAAGTGAAATGTGGAGGTGTCTTAGTTTCAATTGCTGTGATAAAACACCACTACAAACGGCAACTTGAGGAGTATCCGGTTTCTTTCAGTTTATGGTTCCACATTTCAGTCTATCAACAAATAAAGTCAGGCCAGGACCTGGAGTCAGGAGCTGAAGAAGAAGTTGTGGAGAAACATTGCTTACTGGCTTTCTCTTCATGGCTTGCTCAGTTTGCTTTCTTATACATCCCAAGTGGCCGGGGATGGCATTACCCATAGTGGGCTGGGCCCTCCTACATTGATATTTGATGGGGAAAAAAGCCAAATAGACTTTTCCCCACAGGCCAATCTGGTGAGGGCATTTTTCTCAATTGAGGTTCCTGCTTCCCAAATGACTCTAGCCTGTGTCAAATTAACAAATTAACATAAAAGCAGCTGTCACATGGCCTTGGAACCTGGGGATGCTAAGATTATGTTCTGAAGACAAGCAGAATATTTTTGTACTCCTTCCTTCCTCCAAACCTCAGCATCCTGGAAACACCAAGATGAGATCCAAAATTGCAGGGAGCCCCGACATCTGAGGGTGGAGAGTCAGAAATGAGTGGGGAGATCATGGCTTCTGGCTGGCTCTTGGGTTTCTGCACCCTGAGCCTGTATGCCAACAACTTGTCTGAGAATAGAACCAAACCATGCACAGCTCAAAGGAGCTAACACTTAGCTTGTCTTGTAGGATGCTAACTCATGTCACCCAGGGACCCATGCCATTCTTCTGCTAAGATTCATCATATATAGAGCTACCTAATGCTTATTCATCCTATGAAGCACATGGTAACAGCATGAGTGAGCATCAAAACAAAATTCTATATTGATTCCATTATCATTATAAGCTCTGATATTGCTTTCCAATTCTACATGCTCAGAGCCTTTCATGACTTGAATTATAGCACAGATAGCATTTTATAAACTTAACATGGTGTTATATGTCACCTGTGGTTACGTATTTACCTATTATATTAAAAACTGTATAATACATTGTATTTAGGCTGGTCTTGAACTGAGATATTCAAGGGATCCTCCTCTTTTGGCATTCCAATAGCTGGGGTTGCAGGCTTGAGTCTTTGTGTCCAGGTACAGTGTATATTGCATATTAAGTCAGAAATCTAGTCTTAACTGTTGGAACTAAAGATTCTTTCAGTGAAAAACTGATTAACTGTTGTGTTGGAAGCACTAAACCCTCTTTCGAGTTAAATCCGGACATTTTCTGCATCTTTCCTGCTGTGGTTTGTTCTTACACAAACTTAGGGTGAGGTAGTATTTCCAGTATACTAGATATTGGGACACAAGGAGGACTTGTGGCTTGCAGCGTCATGGTGACATGGCTGAAGTCTCCAGGAAGTATGCATAAGGAGTGTTGTGGTCAGCCTGGAGAGTTGTGAATTCTGAGTCTGCTGAAGTCCAACTTCAGAAGGGTGTAGGTTCTGAAGAGGAGATGTGGGAAGAAGAGGATGCAAGCATATCTGAGGGTTCAGTGGCTCTCTTTCTCAACCACAGACAAATTTAGATAGCATATTGACGACATACGCCATTTGGTAAGCATCAGGTCATCTCATCTATGATTCTAAGAAAGAGTGGTTTCATCTAACAGAGTCCCAGATCCCCTTTTTCATATCCTCATTAAATGTCAAGGGTAAAAAAGTAAATTACAGAACAGTTTTTATCTGAAACAACATCTTCAGACAGTGTTTGTCAAATCTGGAAGTTTTAGGTTTCTCAAAACATAGACCTACTTTTACAGCCAGTGGCTACAGTGTGTTAAACAGTCTGAAACTTTCTTTTTACCTTCACCAAGTTACATGTAGAATCATTTAATGTCTTTGAAAATGTAAGCCTTACAAACTGTCTTATAATAAGCATTTAATTGACTGAATATAACATTTTTCTGTTCCTTAATTTCACAATAGGGGCCTGCTCTTTTCATATGCTCCCAGAAAGGAAGATGCCGGGACTGAATTCTTTTTCTATCAACCCACACTATTCTTGTTCCCTCTATAAAGGCTCTAGTATAGGGCAACAGTGCGTCCAAGTCAGGAAGATGAGCACCTGAGTTCTTGCCTCTCTTGGAGCAGCCCATACCTTGCTATCCATCTTATATGCCACATGCCCTAGGTAAAGAAGGGAGCTTTATAGTGGGGACAGGTTTATGGGGACCCATGGGCCTGTGGCGAAATTCCTGACCTAATTATCCTCAGCAGCTCTACAGAAGAGGACATACTTGTGACATCTTGTATCCATAATTGAGCAAGAACTTTCTCAGAATCTACCCTACTGGTACCACCATCCTTGGCACGTAAGGAAGACTCTTGCTTCTGTGACTTTCCTTTCAGGCCATGACCCTATCTTCAAAGTTTCCTGGAACATGAATATATTTCTTCAGGGGCTGTGTAAGCAAAAATCTCCCCATCATGCAAACAATGGTTCCTGAAAGTGAAAGCAAAAGACTTTGTTTTTTCAGAACCATTGCAAATAAGTGAAACAGCTGCTTCTAAAAGTGAAAGCATGGTGGCCACTGAATCCCTCAGTGGAGTTTCACTGGTCTTTTGTCAAACAACCTCCTCTGCTTCATGACTTGAGGTGTCCCTTGTGCGACAGCCTGCACCAGAGTCATTGGCAGAGCCTTTATAGAGGGAACAAGAATAGTGTGGGTTGATAGAAAAAGAATTCAGTCCCGGCATCTTCCTTTCTGGGAGCATATGAAAAGAGCAGGCCCCTATTGTGAAATTAAGGAACAGAAAAATGTTATATTCAGTCAATTAAATGCTTATTATAAGACAGTTTGTAAGGCTTACATTTTCAAAGACATTAAATGATTCTACATGTAACTTGGTGAAGGTAAAAAGAAAGTTTCAGACTGTTTAACACACTGTAGCCACTGGCTGTAAAACCAAACATCTCCATGTGCCTGGGACTGAGTTTTCTCAAATCTTAAGACTTTATGGGCTGAAACCAGGGAAGGTCAGTGTAAACTGGGATGAATTGGTACCTGTAGACCTTAGACTGTAACCTCTCCTTTGTGGAGAGGAAGTGAAGGGACTGAAAAGGGATACATGGATAATTTGAATGTCATGAAGAGCTCACTCCAGTGAGAACTAGCTCAGGTGCTGCAATGAAGTCTCACCCTTTCTATGGGAGTCAAAGTAGACATGTATCTTCATTGGTGTTCTGCTTACAGGAAAAGGAAATTATACCCATTCATTTAATAAATATGCAAGGAACACCAGTCATCACTCAAGCATTGACAGTCCCTCTGTTCATCTGGCATTTCTGTTATGCACATCAGTACACATGCGTGTGGATAGTAGAAATGGAAATAAATTACCAAGAATGTGAAACCTCTTTTCAAGTTGTTGTTCATGGAGTCCAGGAGATCTCCTAAAAACAAAAACAATGTAGGTTATTGCATTTGTTCCTGGCTACCTCGAGATCTGAAGTTAAGTTCCTGTTGCTAAAGACAGCACACAGTTAGGACACAGGTGTTGAAGGAATAAAGCTGGGATTGACACGGAAGCCTCCTCTTTGAGGACTGGCTCTCATAGTACCAAGAGATGCTGTGCAAGCTGCCAATTGAGAAAACTCAGTCAACAGTCCTATACAGCTGTGATGCCTACAAACTACAACAATGACCACCATGCAAGATATAATCAAAAGTGCAATAGTGACACATACATTTTGAGGTATCCAACAAGTGGTAATAGGACTTAAGGCCCATTCAATAGGAGATAATTCAGGTTTGTTACTGTAAACCTGACCAAATACCCATTGCTAGAGAGGCCATGTGCCCTAGAGGAGAACCTACTAAAATGGTAACAAACAAATGGAAAAATATGAAATTCATAAGGATGGATGAGAAGACTGAAGAAGTAGGAAAAGGGTGGATTAGTGGAATGAGAACTTCCTGGTAGGGGACACCTAACTCTTGAGCAGGGACAGTTAGTACATGGAGCTACCATTTGAGGCAAAGCCCTAACAAGAGAATTAGCCCATTCTGAGTCACAGGAAGCTGGTTGCTGTGACAACCTGGTGTCCACACCCTCAAGGCAAATAAATGTCCTGCCTTTAGGACTTACTACAAGAGTCTGGGGCTGTTGCCTAAAAAGGGAACTGGGACAGGCTTTGCAGTGACTTAGCCGGAGTCCTGTTTTCATGAAAGAGGAGCTGAGGATCTCAGAATCATAGCCTTGCAAATGGTCTCTAGATTCCTATCCACGCACTTCAGCTCCCAGCTGCTGTTCAGCTTGGAAACCTCATTGTCTCTTCTTGTATAGCTGAATAAGTCAAACGAGTCATCTACTGTAGACAAGGAAAGTTGGCCTTGATATTGCATGTGGGTGGGCACAAGGACCAAAATACTGACCTCGGGGGGACTAGAGGGACTTTGAGATCCAGATTAACCCTTGGTGGTAGGGTTCCCTTGCCAGGCAGGCTTCCAGAAGCCCAGCAAAGAATGAACACACTCTGCCACCTGCAAACCCGTAAAAGGAAACTGGCCACAAGGTAGACCGCTCCAGGCGACCTTTCACTAATCACCGCATTTGTGCAAGTTCAGCACCTGGTGCTCAAGTTGAGGATGAACTGTCGATCCTACAAGTGTAGAAGGCTCAGAGACGACGCTTGGTTGTGCAATGAAGGCAAGGTAGAGCAGCTTGGTTTCAATAACTCAAGGAGTTAACACATCCTAAACCAACGCAGGGGTGGGGACAAAAACCACACCCCACGGGAGCCGGAGCCAACTTCGCAGAGAAAAATCCTATTGGCATCGAGGAGGCAGGGAGCCAGCCCCTGGGCGCGGCCTGCAGGGGGCAGGCGATCGCCCGGGGAAGCGGGGGCAGAACGAGCTCAAGTAGCTCCCGCTCTGCAGCCAGGGACCGCTCTGCGCCCTCCTGCCCGGTGCGCCTCCTTGGTCCGTGAACTCGCGCTGCCCTGCCGCTGCCATGTGTGCGGCTCGGACGCCGCCGCTGGCGCACATCTTCCGAGGGACTTTCGTCCACTCCACCTGGACCTGCCCCATGGAGGTGCTTCGCGATCACCTCCTCGGCGTGAGCGACAGCGGCAAAGTGAGTGGGCGCGGGGTCCCGCTCACCGCGGACAGGTGAAGGGACCCTGGCGAGGTGCCGGCGTTCCGGGTCCGCTCTGGCACAGCTGACTCCGGAGTTGAACTTGAACGTTTGGCTCTTAGGGAATACAAACAGCCTGGTCACTAGGTTCGTAGCCTGGCTGGGGTGGAATGATGCCCCCGAGGTCAGGAGCTATGGATTACTAGCAGGGCACTGTAGGAACCCTCAGAAAATGTGGTTGAATTTCTTGCCACAAAGCTGACATGGGGCTGGGAGGTATCATTGGTTTAGTGTTGTTTATTGAATCCAGCAGGTAGAATAAGCAAAAGCACCTGGTCTCATTCACAGGATCATTCATCAAACAATGCATCAGGGTACACAAGTTTAATGCTGGAAAGGATAGAATAGAACAGGAAAATCTCTCTCTCTCTCTCTCTCTCTCTCTCTCTCTCTCTCTCTCTCTCTCTCTTCCCCCCCCTCTCTCACACACACACACACACACACACACACACACACACACACACACAGCCATTTGCATCAAAACAACCGGTTTCATTTTCAAGTTCAAAATGCCTTCTAGGATTGTAGATTTTATACAACCCCTCCATCAAATCTCCACAAGTGTTACATGATGTCTGATGCCTACAGATAGCAACTACATACATTAGCAATGTCCTGGTCAGTTTGATAAGTGAAGTCATTTCATTTTGGGGAAGAATGGGATATTTTTAACTGTTTCTCAAAGTATACCAGTTTGTGGCTTGCCAGGTTGAAGACTATAGGTGCCACTGAATCACTGACAGTATTGAATTATTAGTTGTATTTGGGAAAAACCAAATCTGAGAGTCTTAAAAATTTGTTTACGTGCGTGTGTGTGTGTGTGCACGCGCGCACGTGCGTGCGTGTGAAAAGTAGAATGTGTGGCCAGAGAACAACTGATGGGAATTGGTTCTCTCCTTCCTCCATGTGGACTCCAGGGACTGAACTCAGGTCCTCAGACTTGGCATCTTTGCCTACTAAGCCACCACACAGGTTCCCAAGCCTTGTTTTCTCATGGTACTTGATTTTGTTGTTGTTGTTGGTACATTGGGAAGCATGATGTTGTGTTTCTAAGGTGATAAAAGTTTCAGAACTCACCAGTAAACCAGGGGACCTGCACATTCACTCCGTGTGTAGGCTCATGACCCTCAGTTTCAGTGAACTACTACCTGATGTAAGCCCCAAGAAAACAAATACAGACCCTGGGAGACGGGTGATGGAGAGGAGGTTCTGGTTTTATCACAAGAGCTTTGTGATTGATAGCTTTCTTTCTGGAAATAACCTCCTATCCAGTCAATTCTAATAGTGTAACTGAAGTGGCAGTAGGTTTGGGGACATGATGGAAATAAATAAGACAGGGAGAAAGTTATCAGAAAACTAATCTTTTCCTTGAGTTTATACAGAAGAATAAGAGTGTCCTGAACATGCAATTAGTGGTTGAGTCAGAGAGCCTATTCCTCTTGGAGCATGCTGAGACTCTCAGTTTGGAGAGAGTGCCATTCCCACATGAGACAAAATTAACTAGGAATTGGCCACAGTCAGGTGAGCCAGTCAAGATTTACAGCTGAAAAACCCCTTGCCAGTGGATTGTTAACACTGGTCTCCCTCCTGGGTGCAAGACAGTAAGTTACCCCTCCCCCAGCCTTAAAAGGATGTGGGATATATTTCAGTAATTTAATTTCCTCATGTGGAAGTAAGGAATGCCTTACATTTGGGGTTGCTAAGATACTCTGCTTATTTATGCATTATTATTTAAGCATTTCAAGGTATATGAAAACTAGGAGGTTCATGAAGTGAGTAAGTTAGTATTTGGGATCATCAGGCTTCAGTGTCTCTAATTTGTACTGGGTTCTTTTTTTAACTTTTTAAAATTTTTAAATTAGAAACAAGCTTGTTTTTACATGTCAATCCCAGTTCCCTCTCCCTCCCCTCCTCTTGTGCCCCCCACCAATCCTCTATCCAATCCCTTTTGTGCTTCCAGGGAGGGTGAGGCCTTCCATGGGGGAATCTATGTCTAAAATCCATATATGAGTGAGTACAAACCATGTTTGTCTTTTGTGACTGGCTTACTTCACTCAGGATGGTTTCTTCTAGTGCTATTCATTTGCCTGTGAATTTCAAGATTCCATTGTTTTTTTTTTCTGCTGAGTAGTACTCCATTGTGTAAATGTACCACATGTTCTCTATCCATTCTTCATTTGAGGGACGTCTAGGTTGCTTCCAAGTTCTGGCTATTACAAATAATGCTCCTATGAACATAGTTTAACAGATGTCCTTGTTGTATGAATGTGCATCTTTTGGGCAATTGCCTAAGAGTGGAATTGCTGGATCTCGTGGTAGACTGATTCCCATTTTCCTGAGGAACTGCCATATTGATTTCTAAAGTGGCTATTTGCACTCTTAAAGCTAATGTCAGGACACAGCTTGAGATGGATTGTGGGTATATAGAAGGACTTGTGAAAATACTGGCTCCGTGACAGCATCCTCAGAGAAGCCAAATGCATAGGCCCAGAGTCGGGTTCTTACAGGCATCTTTGGAGACCCGGATAAGACAGTGGGTGAATCATATTCTGAGTGATTCTGGTGGATCTGTTGTGTGAAATGTCTAAAGCTCATCTCACTTCAGACCTAGGTCTGGGGCAACATCTCAGAGAAGGGACAGCTTTCCTTGTCTTCCTAAATCTAACCTCTCATTTCTTGTCACTTGACTTCAGATTAGAGAATGGTAATGACTGTGTTTAATTCATTTAAGTACAATACATTAAAAAATGAGTTAATTTTTAAAAATGCAAAACAATAAAAATCCCTCTGTAGCCAATGTTTTTGTTATTATTTAGAATTCAGGGTGAATTTTTATACTTAAGCAGCCTGCAGCTTTTTTTTTTAAATCAAGATCCCAAGATGTATAATTCATTTTCAAGTGTTTCATTAATCTTGAAACACAGTGTGCTCAAATATTACTATTACCCAGTTCTTTCCACATACATCAGGGTCAAGTTGACTCTAAAAAGTCTTCAAGGTTGGAACTTTCCGTGCACACTCACACAGAAAACAGAGTAAGTGTACCCACGTTGAGGTACTGCCCTGGGTGTTAGGAGCAAATTCTCTGTAGAAATGAAGGCCTGGGTCAGAGTGTTCATCATAAAATGAGATGCTGAACCTCTCCCAAGCCTCAGATTCCTCCTTTGTAGACTCAGGTTTGAATCAGATACAGAGTGAGCTGATGTGTGACAATGTCTACACTTAGTTGATACAGAACTGGGACTGTGATTATTCCATCCCCTTCCTTTCCTCTGCTCCTAGTAAGCCCTAAGCCTCTTGCTCATGGTGGCAGTTTTGCATCTTTCCATGTGGTGGCACCTGTGCAGCCAAGTGGTATAAAAGAAAACTGAGGCCTGAATCAAACCTTGTGGGAAGAGGTACAGTTGCTGGACCTCAGCTGTGCATTTTTGTGATTGGGCCAGCCATTCATGCATCATGACACACAAAGCTGTACCTGGCAAAGGTCTCATGGGCCTTAGCTGCTAGGTCACTAGGACATTATTGTCAGTGTTACTCCCACTACAGTGAAGAAGCTGGTTAGAGAAACTGTGCATCCACAGGTGTGCTAGCCTTCAAAATGTGGGCCAAAGTCCATGTTCTATTTCCCCAACAGTCTACTTCCCTAAGGAACAAAGATTTCTTGAATTTAAAAATTACACTTTCAGGGGATAGCTCAGTGGTTAAATGCCTGGCTGCTCTTCTATAGTTCTCAGATTTGATTCTCAACACCCACATGGCTGGTCACAAGCATCTGTATCTCTAATTCTAAGGAATCTGAAGCCCCCTTCAGGCCTTCGAAGGTACTTACACTCATTGCACACATACACATGCAAACACATACAGACACACATACTACATATAATTTTAGGTCAGGTACCAAACTTGTGATAATAAAAGTGGAATGAATCTTGAATCCAAAACTGGGCTCATCACTGAAGATAAACAAATGAAGTATGAAAATAGCGTTAGTGAGGTCAATAATCTAGTGAGATATATCAGACCCACTGTGACTTCTCAGAACAGAACTGGTCTGAATATAAAGGGAAAGTTTTTTCCACTTGAACGCATTGGATATTTAAATAATAATCTGCAGGGTGAATGGAAATCCATAGGCAGGTTGGATTCAGAGAAAATTAGTACCTTTTAGATGGAGGAAATGGCCTGTGAAAAAAGTTCTGGGGTTAGAAAGGATGAAAGACAAAGATAATTAGAAACCCGTAGTTGAGGAGAAGGATAACACAATGTAAGACAGCAGGATGGTGGTGACCATGTAGAATTGGACAAGGATTCCTCAAGATAAAGAATGTACCCCAAGATAAAGAATGAACAGGAGTGTGGCTAGGCCATGGAGTGAAGTTGGAGATTACTACAGTGGTTTAACTAAAACATAATGTTTCATTAACTCTTAAGATTGCCTCTGTCACCTATATGAATTCCTATAAGAATCTGGCCAACTCAACATTTCAATTTCTAAGTTTCCTTATAGTAAAACAATTCTAATCATTACCTCATGATGTGGTGGGAAGCATTAAATTATTTTATAAGCATAAACTATATAGAATAATGCATGACAGACAGGTTATCCAGGGCCAGTATACACCATCAGTCATTGCCATCCATGGAGGAGGATGGATGTGGACAGAGTGGGGAGCTATTTAGGTCAAGTCAGAGGGATTGCATGGTGGCTGATTTCTAACTCCTGGAGCCCAGGGTGGTGTCTATAAATGCATGTGGGCCTCACACAACAGGTTACCAAGCACTTGCAGATGTGTGTCTATAAAATTGGAGGCAGCATCTACCCAATGATGGAAGTACTTGTTGAGCTGGACCTCAAAGAAAAAGTAGGACTTGAACGCGCAGAGAAAGGGTCAATAGCCCTGGCAAAGGGCTCTCCAGTTCCCCAGACTGACAGGATGGGA